TTCCAAATTTATTTTAAATATATAAATAACCTTGTAACTCGATAGCAGGAACAAATAGATATTCTGGTTTCTATTTTGACTGATTTAAAACAGTGTTTAAATACATTAATTCAGGAATAATAGTTGATTCTAAAATCTGATATTAGTTTCCGAGCACCATAATAAAAACCTGGCTGGTATTCTCGTCTGTTTATGGATTTATATGCGTTCGTGTGAAATAAATATAGTCGCGGTTAGAAGGCTGATGTGTGGTCGTGACATAAATACCTTTTATTCGGTAAGGTGTTAAAACGAAAACGATTATATATATATATATATATATATATATATATATATATATATATATATATATATATATATATAAAGAATTAATAGGTTTCTTATCTTATTACTCTAAAATTTATTTTAGTTTACAGACATGCTTGAACAGGCAGTGAAACTTTTTACATTCACTAAAAATTAAAAACGGAATAATAAGATATATATATATATATATATATATATATATATATATATATATATATATATATATATAAACTTTAGTGCATTGATGGGGGAAAGGTGTGTAATAAATAATAGCATATCGGAGAGCCAAGTTCAAATTAAAGTGGAGTCCTCTCCCAGCCATCCATTAAATATTCAAAGCTTCCAAAACATTAGATTTCGCCATTAAATGACCCATAAGATATTGATATACCGTTAAACAATCAAATCAATCCTTGATCACTACAATCTTAACCTCTTCAAGTCTTCTAGAGTCAACCTTTATCTAACTTACATATTCTCATAACCTACACTTCTTACTTCCTCCTTTATACCCTTCAAAAACTTCATTTAGTAACCCTCTACCTTAAGTGGCTCTCTTCATGCTCTCAATAGGTTTGAAAACTAATGAGAATGTTAAAATTTGGCGCATGCTGCGTCGTTTTACGTTGGGTTGTATTTCATTTTTACGGCTTGCTAACAGTGAGTTCACAAATACCTGGCGCAGCATGAATATATATATATATATATATATATATATATATATATATATATATATATATATATATGATAAAATTATTAGGAGGATTTGATAATTATATTTAAGTAATTCATCGAGTCTATTATATATCGCGAGATTTTTGGCAAAATTCAAAGAAAGATTTGTAATGTAATCGATCCTAATAGCACGACTCGGAGTTTCATGCAAACATGCAATCTTCAGGCGTTATGAAATTCGTGTTCTCGTGGTGCTGATTTAAAATTGTGCGTTAAGACTTGTTTATTTCATTATTGGTGTCTATGATTTTTAAATTAATTATTTATAATTTATATCGATGAAAGTCTTAAGTTCGAAATACGAAAAAGCGTTTTTTTAAAGTTATTCTTTTAAATCTTTTTATTTATTAATTATTTTTTTTAATTTTTCGTCTTTCAAACTTAAAACCTTGATCAATATAAATTCATCCGTATCGATTACATTACGGATCTTTCTTTGAATTTTGTCAAAAATCTCGCGATATGTAATAGGAGCACCACACCAAATATGGCAGCAGTATTCAGTTCACAAACGAATGGTAGATTTATAAATGTGCAATATGGATTCTGACAAGAAGAATTGTCTGACATGACATAGTGAACCAACTTTCTTAACAGTAGACCTAGCAATTGATTTAAAGTCATCACTCTACTTCATGTCACTGGAAAATGTGGACCCAAGAAGGCGCAAAGTGTTACGTTACCGGAATTTAGCATCAGCCATGCTGATGGCAGACAGAAAATGTTCTCTGCGGTGGTTAAATGAAAGCAGTTTTGTCTTGGAAGCGTTAAAATTTGTAAACTATCTATTACCTCAGTTAACCACTGATTGGAGGTCTTTTTCAAGAGCAGCTACCAGGTTTACTTTGTCAGATCTGACGGATTTGCTATTGAAACAGCAGTAAATGGTAGTGACCCTATTTAATCTTAAACTATTTCAGTTCCTATCGAAATAGTGTAAAAGTACTAAACAGAAATTTTCCGTATTAAGGTGTATCAATAAATCTGTAGCCTAATATGTTGCTATTAGTTAAATTTTAATCTGAAACTTTAACTGCATAATGTTTCATCTATATTTCATTCATATTCAACACTGGATTAAGTTTATTAACAAAGAAAGGCATTATTTTGAGAAATAATTTGTTTCTGGCTGAATTTCTGGGATGAGGAGTTTCATTATTTATACTATTTGCATTCAAACTATTGTCTTCATATTTGCTGTCATTATATTTCGGCCGTTATGGCCTACGGCCTTCAGCGGAATAATAGCTTAGTTCATTAAAAACATGCTGATGGCAAACAGAAAAGGTTCTCTGCAGGGCTTAAATGAAATTACTTTTGTTTTGGAGTCGTTAAAATTTACAAACCATTTCTTGCCCCAGTTAACCACTGATTGGAGGTCCTTTTTGAGAGCAGTTGCCGATTTTATTTTGTCGGATCTGACAGACTTCCTACTAAGACGCGGGTACTGAGACGCGAGTAAATAGTTGTGTCATATCTGCATAGATACCTAGTTGAGAACTGATGATATTGAGTAGGTTGTTGATGATGATCAGAAACAGGATAAAGCTCTGGGAGACCCCTGCGTTAATATGAAATGAACTAGAAGCGTGTCACCTTCATTACACAATTTGTTAAGGTCAATTAGATTGGAGCATCTATTACTTTGCTAAAAAGAAGTGACTAGCAGGGCATTAATTCAAGGGGGGGGGGTCAGATTGTTACCCAGAGTTCTTAAAGACAGGAAATATAGATGAGGACTTCCAACAAGCTGTAAAGCAAGAAGTAGCGAGGATTTATTGTAAAGTCTAGAGAGAACAGGAGCCAATGAAAGTGCATAATTCTTGATGACAATTGCTGACATACTGTCGAATTCACAAGCTTTGTGGGGATCTCGTTTAAAAATGATAGCAGAAGCCATGGTCAGAGTTATGTGCATATCACTCAATAGAGGCTCTGTTCTCTAGGTGGGGTCTAGCAGAGATACTCCTGATGAGTCGAGTTGCACATTTATTAACGGGATGATTAAAAGTATCATTCCAAATGATATTGAGAAGGAGATCACAAAATGAGTCCCAATCAGTGCGTTGATAACAGAAAGTTATTCCGTTAATAGATCCTTCTTGTCTGATAGGAGAGAAGATATAATCTATAAACACGGTAGCCAGGAACAAATAATTCAGTAAAAGAGATTTAAGACTTCAGTTTAGTTTCACAGAAAGCTAGAATGTCAGGAGGACTGGAACGTCCTCCTGACATTTTGACTGACTGTAGAAATTGGTACAAATGCTACGAATCTTCGAAAATGTGTTTTTGTTTGGATTTTGCATGCAGGTTTAGTTTTATTTTGATTATTTGTCTTGGTCGTGTTACACTCTTAAGGGTGGAAAAAGCCAAGAATAATAGTAGCTGCCTATCGTCAAAGGCAACATGAGCTGGCTGGAAAGTGACGCAAATCGCAGCAATATTGTTACTCAGGGTTGTCCACCGAAAGTGTTTTCCAGAACACTTATCCATGCATGACATGGCACTACAATGACCCCTCTATACTTGATCAGAGCACCCTCTCTAAGCGCTTTCCGAGTTCAGTTTCCTTACTACCAGCAACAGAGAACCTGTAGCCACCAACCAGTCATATCACCAAAACTCCATGACAGTCACCCTTATTAAGTCTCCTGAATAAGAAACCGGAAGCCTTATACTAAACAGGAAACAAGTCATAAACCTATACTCCAGCTCAAAAGATTCGGGGGGTGTATGGACTGGGAGATAAGCCGACCTATATATTCTTATTGAAAAAAGAAGTGTCAAAACATCGAATCTTCGTGTATAGGCGGAGATGTTTGAGGTATACAGTTAACCTTATGTGTGATTTCAGTATAAGTGGCTGTAACTTCTTTATGAATTAACTTAGCAATTAATTTTGAACTTCATTAGTTGCGTTATCACATAGTAAAAGCAACGTTTACATTCGTACATACAATGGTGCGAGATAATCTTTTTGTCAGTTGATAGCACTGATGAAAATTCCAGTTCTTTCGCTGTTCGGATTAAGACAATCCCTCTTTCCATTTATATCTCCCCTCATCTCTTAAACCAGAAAAGGGAATTTAAGATCAGAGTAAGAGCAATGGAATTAAGTATAGGATTAGATTCGAATACATGTGTTAGGGTAAAGATATAATATTATTATAATTATTATTATGATATGATTATTAAAGTTATTTATGTTCAGATCGTTGCTCTACTTTTTCTTTTATTAAAATCTTTTCTCTTCCAGTTTATATATTTATTAAAATCTTTTCAGTTCAAGTTTATACATTAGAAGTCGCTACTAACATTTCTTGCACACACACCTTCAGGTTCTTTTGTTCACTTGACATATAAATAAATTACAAGACGAACATTTGAAAAAGGAAACACATTTGACGTTTTAAAAAAAATCATAGTAAGCAAAAAAGCATTAAGATCGTCATTCAACGGACCCAGATCAAAAGACTCTCAGTTCTTGGATTACTTTCTTCTTATATATGCATATATACATATATGGAGGGGCACACACACACACACACACACACACACATATATATATATATATATATATATATATATATATATATATATATATATTGGTAGTCGACATTTTTGTTTTTGTTTTCGCTTTCCCATCACTTGTTTCCGATATTATGTCTTTTATTTTTGTCGCGCAATGAAAACAAAGGCAAGTTGGCCGTCAGAAACTTACAAGTCAAATAGCTCCATAAAAGGGATTGGTCTATATTGAAACCTTGGAATGGCTTTTGCGAATGAAAGGTTCATAGAAAATGAAATGGGGTGATTTTAAAGTTGACATCAGTTGAAAAGAAAATAATATTTTCATAAAAGCAATAAAGCGACACTGGCAACGCATTGGAATTCATCAAGCTTAACTTAGTCTGGTACAAGGCCAGGCGTATAGCAAAGGGACCGGACTTACTGGCTTACGGCCATATCACGTTGAAACACTGGTTCTCGCAAGATCAGCGAAGTTAAACAACGTCGAGTCTGGTCAGTACCTATATGGCAAACCATATGGGAATACCAGGTGCTGTAAGCTTGGATGCACGTAGGGTGTAATGTATAACGAATCGGAATTGGAAATCGGAGAGCCGAGTTCCAATTCCAATTGTGTTTTTTTATAATTCAATTACGCGCAAATGCCATTGGGAAAGTGATGAAGTCACCTCTTCACCCCCACTTTATGGGTTAATTAGTATGAATTGTATCAGTAAATCATTATTATCTCCAAAAAATTCTTACAATCTAAAAATATTTCCGGCTTTAAATAACCTGCAAAAGCTTGATAAGCTGTAAAATACAAATCAATCAATCAATAAAAACTTACTAAATAGCCACAACAAGGGGAAGTGCCGAGAGGGCTTGGACAATTTTTACACGGTATTGCCGTTAAATCCACTTTAAACATCGACCTTGTCTCACATTCGGTAGCGACGTGGGCTCGCAGAAAAATACACTCTTATACTTCCCCGGCGTAAGCAGAACGGAATGTTTTAAATTAATATTATGCATGAGACCAAGGAGACCATCCTCCCAGACATTACCTCTCTTTCGCGAGGAGGCTGGGATCATCATTCAGCGCATAAGGTGTCCTCAAAATGGGAAATACCAAGTGGCTTGAGCAATATTTGCACGACTGTCTGTTACCCAAAATTATACTCATCCTCATGGTGTGTGACGTTGGCGATTGGATAAAATCGTATCGTTGGCACGGTTTCTATTTTCTAACCTCAGCTAATAAGCCAAACAAAGTTTGGGACATATTTCTTGTACTTTTCTTCCGAAAGGAACTTCGGAGAATTTCTGGCGGGATTTCCTTTTTGTCTGAGAAGGATTTTTCGTAATTTGGAAAAGCCGATGATTAAAATTAATCGGTACAAAATGTCTGTTGTGCTTAATAATATTTGCCTTGAAGAACATTTGATGCTTAAATACATAGAATAGTGTGGGCCTATATACATGATCATTTACTGCAATCCGGCTATGTTACCTGTACGTTTAATCGTGAGCAAATTGAAATAGATATTCAAGGTCTAGCAATTTTATTTCCCTCACAGTTTCTGTCGATATATGGATGCACAGTGCACTTTCTGTACGTTGACTCTAAGAATGATACGACAAGTAGGTATGCCTTTGTTTTGCTCACTACTTTTCGGTTGGTGCATTCTTGGGCCTTGCTCAGATACGTCTTGCGTTTGATATTTTCAAAGATCTTTTAAGACTGTCCCTTATCGCAAATCATAAGTATAGCGTAAACGGTTTAAAATCGTTCAAAACTAAATACTGAAATGGTTGAAATAACAAAAGATGATTTCGTGTCCTTTGTAGCTCTTAATAATTTTTATGTTTCAGTTATTTTCCCAAAACTTGTTCCACCCTCCATTTACTAAGTATATTATGCGTTGTTTTCCGTCCTAAAACGTATTTCTTCATGTCTTGATCTAGTATCAATCCTACTCCTCTTTCATTTTTTCTCTCTCTCTGCCTGCGTGTTTGTCACTGACAAAATCTCCGTTGTTTGCCCACCAGTTTTCACAAACTCCTAAAATATTGATATTTAACCTGCTCATTTCCTGTTTTAAATTTTCTAACTGTCCACAGTGGTTTAATGTTCTAATCTATTGCCACACTCAAATTCATGAAGTCGAGGTATTAAAGAGGAAAGCTCATTGTAACAATTACCATGAAGATATTTGTAGATATCGACATGGTGTAATAGTTAGCAAGCATGGTCCGTTAGACCAATTACGACTGATTAGTGAGTTCGAGCCTCATTTGATGCTCCATACATTTGGCCTTGTGCCACATCTAATCTACACTTAGTAAATCACTATAGAAATGACACAGGGAAGCTATGTTATGTTGGTGGGAAAATGACTGAAGACGGGATGCCAGGGCAAGACCGATAACATTTCAGATTCTTCTTTGCATTTTATCAAGATATATAGCAGGAGCATCAGAACGGATATTATGACATTTTAAAAAACTATTATATTTTTCTAATCTAACGCTCCTTTCCAGACATTTTCTTATCCCCCAGTATAGATTTCATTTGTACAAACTTTCTTATGCGTCTCAAGAGATCGTAAAATAACAGAAATTTTCGACGAAACAAATGAGTCAGCTTATCTTTAAGATCGCATGGTGCTAGAAATTTTTTCAAAAAAAAAAAAAAAGAAAAAAAAAGGCGTGTGTATCTACCTCTCCACACATGTGTAACTACTTTTACCAAATAAATAAAGCTTGAAGCAAGTCGTTTAGTTTTCTAAATCATAGAAGCAAGAGCAATTATTTGACAACGTTTTCTTAGTCTTCGAATGATACATTAGGGAGTGCAGGACAAACATAAAAAAAAAACAAAAAACAAAACAGGATCAATTTACCCATCTGAGCCTGAATAAGTGACAGAATATGTTCTGTTCCGTTCCATACAAAGTGTCGGAGACGAAATCCACCGAAATTTGCCTGTCTTTCGCCTCTCCTTAGAAATTACTGTTGGGTATTGAATTTCTACACGATTTCCCTATCATCTGGAAACAGGAGGATATAAACAAGATGCTAAGCAAATAATCTTGTGACTACAGTATGCTGCCATTTGTACATTTGTCTAAACAGAAGGAGTAAGAGAAAAATACTTAAACACAAAGTGAAAAAAAAAATGTCCCCTACTCCGCGACCTTAAAGAAAAACAAAAAAATCTGAGAAATAAGAAACATCTCTAGTGGCAATGTAAATCGTGTTTGAAAGAGCAGAGATGAAAAAAAAAGAAAGATATTTTTTCTTTTCTTTTTTGAATTCCATAAACTAACAAACATTCCATCACACCTGTGCAGTTATCATAACTGTAAATAAAAAAAACATTCAATAAAGAAAAGACAGCCGGTTAGAAAGGAGTCATTTACCGGGACTTTACTGCCTCTTCAAGATTAATTAAAGGAAGAAGAAAAGACAACAAGATAGCTTTATTCCAGAAAATTTAAAATTTAGCATTTCTATACATTAAGCGCTCCCCCACCGCAGTGCATAATTATAACCAAAGTTTCCATCTTTTTTATTCCCCCCTCCCCCTAAATATATATAATTCCATCAGCAGATGCCTGAATTTAGTCCGATGAATTTTAGAAGATCAAAGGCGTTACATCAAATTTTTGTTCAATTTGCTATTCAATTGCTTAACATTGTTCTGATATACAGAAATTTATATACAGTGTAACCCGGATATAAGAGAGTTGTCGGGACTGGAGAAGAAGTCTCTTATATCCGGGTTTCTCTTATATCCGGGTTTGGTCTATTTTGTTTAGGTAAGTATGGCTCTAATTTGGGACCAGAGAAAATCTTTCTTATATCCGGGTTTCTCTTATATCCGGGTTACACTGTATCATAATCTCCAATAATTGCATTCCAAAAAATTATTAATAATTCCTTGTCCGTAGCCAGGGCCGATGCAAGAGTCTCGTGCACCCCTGAATCTATGATACGCCCAACCCCACTCTACTACATCTCAATTTTCATATGGTAGTATTCATATAAAATACAAATTTTATAATAAACTAATTATGTACAGTAATGTATCATATGCAATATAAGAAGAAGATAGATTCATCTATCGTCCGGTTCACACTCTTCACTGGTATTTTGATCAGGAGTTGAAGTTTATCCTTTGTTCCCTGTTAAGAATTGGTTCAACTAGAAAAATTGAAAATAAATACAATGTATCTAAAAACAAATTAGAGGCATGTCATAATAGATCATTCTTAAATCTTAAATAAATCAACAATGTTTTGCGGCAATTTTTAACATCAACTTGAGATTTTTCTTGTTAAAAAGTTCAATAATTTTAACACATTCAACATTATGAATAAAAATTGTAAGTTTTACATGAGCAAAACAAATTCACGGATTTGGACGGGGAAAAAAGACGTCAGAATGGCGTCAAAATCCGCGAAAATTTTTCATCTTTTGATAGTCAGTTATGCTTAGTTTAATTTGTAACGTATCTAAATGTATGTAGAAAGAAGTAAAGGATAATATGATAACGAGGGTGACAAAGCACTGCCCGAGCCCCCAATCTGACTTGCCCCCAGATGGAGGGTCGAGTGGCAGTATGCAACGGCTCTGTAGCAGCCCGGTAAAATATACCTAGGTCATGTACGTTTCTCTAAACAGAAATAAGAGAAAAAAAAAATGTCCCTAAATCTGAAATATGAAAATGTATTAAAGAAATAAGAAAGCATAATATTTTTTTTAAACAATGTGATTAAATCAGAAAAATCGAACTGATTTCGCTTAATATTACAGCTGTGAATATAATTTGGATTTTCAATCAATTCTAGTGACCTTGTTTCGCAAAAAGCTAAGATTAGTAAATAGAGAGCGTTACGTCATATCGGATGAAGCTAAAATTGCCAACCGTCCCTTATTAAAAATGGCACGCCATTATTGAGCACTTTCTGTCCTTATTGTTTATTGAATCTGGAAAGTAAAAAAACAACCTCATTTTCAATTATACTGTGATTCTATGAGAATTAAATTAAAAATAACTATTTTAGGACACATAATGAGAAAAGGGTCGATATTGCCACTAAGATTGAGTGTGAAAGACTTTAAGGAGGAACCGGAAACCTAGTCCTAAACAGGGAGCAAGGGATAAACCTCTACTCCTGTTCAAAAGACCGGGGAAGAGACGTCAGAAGTATAGAGTTGAAGTAGACTTTAGAAGGAAGCGGAAACCCAATCCTAAACAGAGAACAAGGGATAAACTTCTACTCCTGTTCAAAAGACCGAGGAAGAGACAGAAGTATAGAGTTGAAGTGGACTTTAGAAGGAAGCGGAAACCCAATCCTAAGCAGGGAACAAGGGACAAACTTCTACTCCTGTTCAAAAGACCGGGGAGGAGTATGAACCGGATGAAAAACGAACCTCCTTCTCCTTGGAATATTTGATACACACAGGGCATATTGAAGGCAAGAGGCAAAAAGGAAAGCACCGAGTGACCTACCTAACGAGTTTGTGTAAATTTTTGACAGAACACCATTTA